TGACTGGGAAAAAAGTCTTTTCACTCACACACAGAGACATACACACATTTCTCTCATTCCCCTTATTTCCCAAAATTTCCTTTTCTACCATGGCTCCACATGGGCAGAGCCTGGGAAACCCATTTACAGACACAAGGCGTCCGCTGCTAGCAAGATGGGTTTTCCTGTTTGAAGCTTCTCAATTTTACAGTTATTTTTTTTCTTTTTTTTATTATTATAAATTTTTACAATTTTACAATAAAAACCCCTTCCCCGATCCCTCCCAACCACCCCAAAATCCTCCCCCATTCTTCCTAGAGCTGAATACAGGGTTAACTATAACTTATAAGAAAAAACTTTTAAACCAAATAAACCTCAAGCAAGTATAATCACATTCAGTAAACAAATTATTAAAAACTTTAACTCCATTATATATAAAAAACAGAAAGAGAAAAAGAAGAAACGAAAAAAAAAATAAAATAAAATAATAATAATAAAAAAACAAAAAAAACTATTCTACACTTCTAAATAATATCTTAAACTTTAAATATAAATTATTCAAAAGCTAAATGATATTTTCTTACATCATACTTATATTGTATAAAATTTATCCATCTTTTCCACACCAAGAGATACTTCTCTTGCGATTGATCTTTCAAATAAGCCGAAATTTTTGCCATTTCAGCTAAATAAGAAACTTTAAAAAACCATTCCTGCAAAGTAGGCAAAGATTCCTTCTTCCAATATTGCCCTATTAACAACCTTGCCGCTGTAATTAAATTTAACATTAAAATAATCTCTTTGTCATTACAATCAGAAACAATACCCAACAAAAACAGTTGTGGGATAAATTTTATCCTTCTTTTGAAAATTCTTTGAATATTCCACCATATCTTAATCCAAAAGGCTTTTATACTTTTACATGACCACCAGATATGATAATACGTTGCATCCAAGCAACCACATCTCCAACATGTAGGCTGCAAATTTGAATACATACGAGACATTTTTTGTGGATCAAGGTGCCATCTATAAAACATTTTATAAAAATTTTCCCATAAGTTTTGCGCTTATGTAAATTTGACATTCCTCACCCAAATAATCTCCCATGTATCTAATAAAATCAGTTCATCAAAATTTTGAGCCCATTTAACCATACAATCTTTAACTAATTCTGTTTCTGAATCCAATTCCACTAAGACACCATAAATTCTTTTTATGTGGGTTCGGCTTTGATCTCTAATTTGTTTTAGCAAATTCTCATCCTCTCTCAAACCCACTTTATAATCTATCTTCCACCTTTCCAATAATTATCTGAACTGAAACCATGAATAATTAATATTTTCTTGTGCTAATTCATGTATGGATTTTAATTGCCAATTTTTACCATCCCACTTAAGTAATTGTGTATAAGAAATACTATCCATCTTAACTCCTTTCCGTATTCCTTCTATTGCATGCCATGGAATAGCCCATAATGGAATTCTTGAATCAATTCTATAATATTTCTTCCAAACCTGAAGTAAAGAAGTTCTTAAAATATGATACTTAAAAACCCTATCAACTTTTTTATTATAAATTAAGTAGGCATGCCATCCATATAATAAATCCCAGCCCTCCAAAGGGAGTATATCTACATTTGTTAAATTGACCCAATCACTAATTAATGTTAAAACCACAGCATCATAATACAATTTCAAATTCGGTACCTTGAATCCACCTCTCTCTCGTATATCTTGTATAATTTTAAGTTTTACTCTTGGTTTTTTCCCTGCCCAGATAAATTTATTGATACCTTTCTGCCATTCATCTAGGTTTGCTTCTTTTTTCAAAATAGGTATCATTTGAAATAAAAAAAGAAACTTTGGCAAGACATTCATTTTAATTGCTGCTATTCTCCCCAATATAGACAATTGCAGCTTTTTCCAATTCTCTAAATCCTTTTGTATTTTAAACCACAGCCTTTCATAATTATTTTTATACAGTTTTGCATTGGAAGCAGATAAGATAACCCCCAAATATTTTGCCTTATTAACAACCTCGAAACCTGTCAATCTAACTAAAATCTCCTTATCCAAATTGGTCATATTTTTTGACAATATTTTAGTCTTATTATTATTGATCTTAAAACCTGAAACTTGTCCAAACTGATTTATCAATTGTAACAACTCCATTACAGAATGAATTGGTTGAGACAAAGTAACAACCAAATCATCTGCAAAGGCCCTTAATTTATAATCATTTTTATTTATTTCTATTCCTTTTATATTAGGTGATTCACGAATTTTGATCAGCAAAATTTCCAATGTTAAAACAAACAACAAAGGTGACAATGGACAACCCTGTCTAGTCCCCTTTTCAATTGGAAATACCTCTGATAAACCTCCATTAACTATAAGTTGCGACGTTTGTTTTTGGTAAATGGCTCAAAGAGCCTGTAAAATTCTATCTCCAAAATTCATTTCCTCAACCAATCTTAACATAAATTGCCAATTTAACTGATCAAAAGCTTTTTCAGCATCTAAAAATATCAATCCTGCAGAAATCTGGTTGTTCTTATCCAAATATTCTATTAAATTAATAATTTATCTAACATTATTTTTCATATATCTTCCAGTTATAAAACCAGTTTGATCCATATGTATCAATTGATTCAACACAGTCATAAGTCTATTAGCTAAAATTTTTGAAAAAATCTTATAATCTACATTCAAAAGAGATATAGGTCTATAATTTTTTGGTAGAGTAAGATCTTGATCCTCTTTTGGAATCAAAGATATAAAAGCTCTACCCCAAGATGGGGGGGTCTCTAATCCCTGTAATATATTATTGAAAAGTTCCCTTAAAGGTTCTATCATCTCATCTATCAAAGTCTTATAATAAATTGATGTCAATCCATCAGTACCCGGTGCTTTGCCAGTTATTTTTTTTCTTTAGGTTTACAACAACGACTTACAACAACAACCCATCTTCTTGAGAGTTTCCCTGAGGTTCTTCATTTGACAGCCACTCAAAACTCTTTAACACCAGTTCGCTTCCCTTTAGACTGGCCTTCCCCCTCTTGGGAGTAAGGGACCTCAACCTTTCAGGTCTGCACTCCTCTGGACGTACCAGTGTTCCCAGAACACAGTCCATCACACTCACACAGCCGTTATCGCAGAAATCCTCCCACAATCGCTCTCCTGACCACCCAGGTACAATTGCATGGTTCCCTACTTCGGGGCAAAAGTGTCTTACCTGGGCCAGTGCACTGTGTTACCTGGTCTGGGCTTCAGTTGCTGATTTTCTTCCTTTTTTCCTGTTCTTTGATTTTTGTAAACCAGAGTTGTCAATTTAGTTTGGCTTAGAGCCTGCAAGGGGAAACTAGATCTCAGATAACTCCAGGCAGTTGAAATCAACAGGCGCGCTCCTGGATTTTACTGAGAACAGTGTCCCCTAGAAACTCTTAATGCCCGCATTCTCCACCAAGATTGTGAGGTGTAAAAACCCCAAATTTTGATACTCACAATATCTGACAAGTCTGGTTAACAAAACAAAGGTTTACTGAAGAATAACATAAAAAGAATAAAAAGGAAAGAGAAGAAAGAAGAGGTGTTTGCAAACGTGGCCTCCTGGATTCTTCCATATGGATTGGGTTCCAGGAGAGCATTGGCCTGGTTTCAAGTTCTGCATTTTATACATCTACAATGCATGTCACATCAAAGGAGCTCTTTCATCTTTATAGATATACTTTGAAGTTGTATTTAAAGTCATCCTGACCTCTTCCACCCATCTGCTGTTATCTTGTTTATTTGTAATTTTCACCTAGGGTCAAAATCCCCCTCTTTGATAGTAGGATTTCTGCTCAAAGTGTAAGTTCCTGTGTCCGGAGGATTTTTAGGCAGTAAACATTGAACAAATCTTCTCACACATTTGGCAGTGCATTGCTACATTTGCGTTACAGTTTACATTTGTGTTAAATAGACAATCTCATATATTGACATTACATTTCTACAATTATTTTCTACAATTTTATAAAAGAATAACTTTTATTTCCTTCATTTACCACAAGCAAAATTGGTCTTCTAGAAATGTAATTGCCATTGAGAAAAGAAGAAAAGAACTAGTCTTGCAAGAGACTTTATTTGGTTGTCATTCAACTGTTATAGCCTGTTGTTGTTGCAATGAATCCTGAACAAAAGAAAGAATACATAAGGAAAAAGGAATGTTCTGAGAGCTGGCAGCTCTCAAAAAACTGGAAGTAATAATGTAATCAAGTCATTAAAGAGACAACTTTCAGTCTATTTACTTCTCTCTCTCTCTGACAGAGGCTCTCCCTCCAGTGGGGGCTTACTGCACTACTTTTTAGTTTGTTTTCTTTTTTGTTTAAAAAGCACTTATATTTGCTGTTAAATTTCAGCGGCATTGTTTGGGTATGAATGCGTGGACAGAATAATCCAAAGACCATGAAAAACCCTTCTAGACACAATATAGCTCACATATCAGTTTTAGGCAACTGAAATATTGCAACAGAGTTTGCAATTTCAGCCTTAATGGAGTGAAGTATTGCATTATGTTATCCAAATTGACAGATAATTGGGTTTTCCAGTGAATGCAACAGGTCCCAACTTCTGTCCAGTTTAAATATGCTCAGAGATCAGTTATCCTCAGGGGTAAATTTTAATTTTGTGAAAATAGCTAGCACAACCAGGTAACACAAACTTCAGACATTTTTAAGCATATGATGCAAATTTTAAAAGGCAGGGCTTTGATCAGCTGATTGTAAGCACCATTTTGATATTGTTGACTCTGGCAAGACATACACACACAAACACACACACACAGTCCACCAGAGTTCATTTGGAATACTCCCCCAAAAAACCCAGGCTTGCTTTTCCTATCAATAGTCCCTTTTCCCAAGCTAGTTCACAAGGAACAATGAAAGATTCAAGTTATGTAGCCTGGGGAAATGTAATGGAAGGAATATACTTTTTAAGGTGAATGAAAGCTTTTATTTTTTTAACTAAATCTTATATTTACAGATCGCCCAGGTCTTATCAGCATTGAAAGAATAGAAAAGTGTCAAGAAAGTTTCCTCTTGGCGTTTGAACACTATATTAATTACAGAAAGCACCATATTGCACACTTTTGGCCAAAACTGCTGATGAAAGTGACAGATCTACGAATGATCGGAGCCTGCCATGCTAGCCGCTTCCTGCACAGGAAGGTGGAATGCCCCACAGAACTCTTTCCTCCTTTGTTCTTGGAAGTGTTTGAGGATTAAAAAGACTGGAAACATTCTCAGAAATTCTATAGCACTACTGGGTGTCATTTCATTCCATTGCCTAGTTTTTTCTTCTTATTTTTGGTCCATTCCCATTTTGTACCACCTCCTTTGGAGGATTATTTTTAATAGGCATGAATGAATGAAGATATCCCTTCAATGCGGGTACTTGTCACAATTGCGTTTTTTGTGTGTCCTTTACTCCTTTCGATGTGAATCCTTTGAGAGTTTAACCTTGAGAATTTTAAGTTTATTCACCAGCACTCAGGCGACCCATGTTTATACTCATTGTTTGGAGAGATATGGATAAAATATAAATAAATTGAGGAAGCAAGAAAATGGATAGATAAATCCTGCCTTATTTTATACAGTATTAACTCACTTTCTGGACATGAGACTTATGCTGAGCAATTCAGAACAATCTAGTAACTGTTAATCTTGCTGAAGATCAAATGAGATCAGTTGCAGTTATATACAACTTTAAATATAATTCAGATGTATTGAGTTCTCTGCAGTGTGCTCCCAAAACCAGGTATAGGATTGCAACTTTAGCTATGCCTAATTTCACCTTGTCGTGCTTAAGAATAGATAGTTTTATCCAAGTAAAACTCCCCCGTAATCATAATTTTATCATCATTTTCAGGTTGTTATTTTAGAAACTCAATTGCAGGTAATCCTCTTTTAATGGCTGCCATGTTTAGCAACTGTTCAATTACAGTGACATTGAAAAAGTAATTTTATGATTGGTCCTTGTACTTATGACCATTGCAGCATCCCCATGTCATTGACATTTGAATGCTTTACACAGCGTTCCACAGTCACATGATTGCCATTTGTGCACTTCACAGCCAGCTTCCATCATGCAGAGTTAATAAAAAAAGCCAGCAGTAAAATCACATTGCGGTCACGTGATATCTCGCTTTAATGACCATGAGTGATTTCTTAGCAGTGGGAGTGACACCTTAAATCCACTACAGTCATATGACGCTTCACTTAATCAACCTGCCGATCTGAATTGTGGTTGTTTAGTGAGGACCACCGTTGCAAAAAAAAACCCAAAATGCAGTCAGAGTCCTTTTTTTCTTCCAGGTGAACACAGTTTATCATTTCCTCATTTATTCAATCCCAAAGCAAAAACAATACAGGAAGGGAATAAGTACATTTAAAATTTCCACAGAGCCAAGGCCCTTGATCTCTTTGCTTCTTAATGGTAATTTGGATACATTAGAGCAGGGGTGTCATATTCGCAACGTCACATAATGTCGCAACATATCACGACTTTTTTCCATCACCGGCAATGGGATGGACATGGTTTTGCTATGATGCATCTGGCCCGCGGGCCGCAGTTTAATGCCCCTGCATTAGAGTAATAGTTAACTATATTTCTTCCACTTGCCAAAAATTATTTTAATAAGTAACTGAGTCAGTAGGAAGATATACTACTACTATTCTCAGTAATTCTGGACCCTTGGCACTTATATGTTTTAAATATTGACATGATAATGATTTAAGGGGTTCCCTGGTTCCTCCATTTTGTCTTTTCTAGCACATGCAATTCCTAAACCATAAAACATCTGTGCAATGAATTCTTCCCAATTTAATATGATACATCAGAAAGGTTTTCTCTGTCCTCTTCCCCCCCCCAACTCAACAAAAATTAATTCCAGTTATCTGTAATAAACCTTTTCACTCCCTTCTGTATAGTCATATATCCGTTTTCTACCTATATACCGACACCTTTTCAGTGACTGTAAAGTACCCTGAATCCTAGGATTTGTGAATCACATTTTATACAACCAAGAGATACAGGCCTTTAATTTTTTGTGAACAAAAACATGACATGGAAATCCGTTTCAAGAAAAAAGATTTGACAGAATGTAAATTGTTAGATACACTCAAGCTGTTGGATCTATTCCAAATGAATAGCTGAAATTCTAGATTCCAAATCATTTTGTCCTCTTTAGTAATATTTGCACTCAGGTAGACTGTCAGTGTGGACAACATTTGAATTATAAGATTCTTTTCAGCCATGCTTAATTCCATTGACAACAGAAGTTTTTTTCAATGTATATGCACCCAATAGCCACCCATTCATGATCAGAGCTCAGTGCAGAATTAGGTGTACTGTATTTAAGTTATTTTCAATGACTTAAATACACTTGATTTAAGTTTACAAATGGTAGTTCTTGTCAGTAAATGTGAAACCATGCAGTAAAACTTTCAGTCTATATGAATTGGAGAGAAGAAACGCTTCTTAATGGCAGGCTAACTTCAGTGTTTTAGTTTTTACAAAACAAAAGTTCACATTCCAGCTTGCTTTCTGTAAAACATTTTTGGTTCTCTGGCAACCTAAATCAAGATGTCAGTGAGTTTTCCTTATCAAGGATTGTTTTTTCTCCTGGATGATATCTTCTATGGTAGGGGTCCCCAATCTGTGGCCGCTGTCCAGTACCAGACTATGGCCTATTTGCAACTGGATTGTGTGAGAGGCAGACTGGCATGTGTGTGCAGCTCAACTCACATGAGTAGTGGGCGCCAGCACTTATAATCCCGCTCTCATGAGTGGCGGGCACCAGCATTTGCAGCTCTACATGCATGAGCATGCTGCTCACACAAATGGATCTGTGTATGTATACGTGTGCACATCTGCCCCATTCCCTCTTCCCCTTTCTCCCCACACAAGGCCGTCAACCTGTAAAGGTTGGGGAATGCTGTTCTATGGGGCTTCATGGGCAAGGGATGAATCATCTTCCTTTGATAAACTAGGCATGCTTACAGAATAGTCATATAAGGATATTGTCATTGGAGAAATATTTATAGACTATGCAGTTTCTTATCTTGTACAAATTTTTGATAACATAAACATTTACATATTTTCAGAGTTGACTATTAGCTTGAGAGCTCTAAAAATGATTGTCCAAAAACATAGTTGAATCAACTTGATATTTTTTCCAAAATGATCACATTTACATTTGTCTAGCCAACATATGTGAAGAATTTTGGTGGCAATCAGCCTATTTGGTAAGAAAAAAATGAAAATGTACCATGTTGTATGTTTTTTTTTTCTCTTCAATTCTACCTTTTCAGAACTCGGAGGTGTCCATTAGACCAGATGTTTTCATCAAAATAATGATAGCATTGCACTATTGCATTGCAAACTTTAGTTTTTTTTATATATGTGTGCAGTGTCATGACATGTCAACATGCCAGAGGATCACCTAGTGGCAGTAGAGAGACCATAGAGAGGGGATTTATCTTATTTTCCTATGCCATTTTTACTTTTAAATCTCCATCTCTTTTTTACTTTGCTGCAAAAAATGCATGATTTGAATATCTGTTATTAACTTTATAAGTAAAATTATATTCTAGCTGGTTTACATCACAACACAAATAGTTATTATTTTTAAAATCTTTCTAGTATTGCTATTCATCTTCTCTGTCCCAAATATAAATATCTATATTAATGTTTAGTTCCATGTAAACCTGTTGAAGATCATAACCTAACAGAAAAGGGGCATCCAGTAATGACTAGAGTACCTCACTTAATCTTTGGCCTTAAGTACCCGTGGAAATGTTGAGATTTTCTTCAAAGTAAAGTAATAAATAGAATCTAGGATTATTTTTCAGAAGAAGTCCAAAGTTTTGTTTTGTTGAAGGAGACAAGGAATGAATCTTGGATCCAACATGATACTCCACAGCTTTTCAATAATTTATTACTATAAGAAGAGAATATCTACTCCCATCCATTTATCTTGATTAGTAAGAAATCTCCCTATTACTGTGGAACAGTTTCAACTCTAGAGAACTATAAGATGTTATGTATAAAACATATAACAAACTAATGAATGCTATGTTTTGATTTGCACTAGCTCTTTATGATGTGGTATTCTAAAGCTTAGCCCACATTTAAACAAAAATGCATGAAATTGGTTCATATTTGATTTTCAGTGTGCTTTATGCTATTTAGACAACAATTCATCAGAACTCAAGAGCCATATTTTGATTTGTAGAAGATTAATCTCTCATTATTGGTTATCCCAACCCGAGGATTCCAATTGCTCTTCTTTTTTCATGTGTAAGTGTGCTCATGTTACAATGGTTTCCAATTTTAGTCACACCAGAGAAACATATTATTTTAAATTATTAAAATCTGATACCTCGGATTTCTTTTCGACAAATAAATCCTGCAAGCACTGGTATAATAGTTTAAGAAACATCTGGCAGCATCTTCAGCTATAGCTTTCATAATGATTACTAGGAGAGGTAAATTGTACACCCATTTATTCTTTGTGGGGAGGTCTTTTGACTGACTACAAAATATCTGTTTTTGACTATGCAGCTTTAATTCTGATTGTTTATGATGTCCCATGATGTTCAGGTTTGTTTTTTGCTGTAGGTATAGTATCAAGTGGAGCATCGTATAAAATATTATTTCTCTTTTTAAAAATAATTGTTATTTTAATGTGTCCTGCTCTAAATGATAATTATTTAAGCTGCTGTGGGTTTGGTGTTGAGTTCCATAATGTTTTTAAATTGGGAGAGAAGATAGTGATGGACTCTACAGTGACTTAGCCATTTTAAAAACAATAGTACTGTGCCAAAATATAGGTGTCAGAATCAGATATTGAACATTTGTGATTTATCTTTGTGTTAATGTACTGCAGTAGAATTAAAAAGGCAATGCAAAGTCAAAAAAAAATGGTTGGAAGGAAATCAGCTCTATAGACCACAAGATGAGCACATTGTTGTTAATGATGTATTCTATGCTATGTAATCTTAAAATGTAGATATCATATTGATATGCCACATAAATTGTCAATAACATCATTCTTAAGGTTTTTAAATCTTAAAGCTTTTCAAATGGAGCCAATATTTTTTGTAGGATTAGGTCTTTATAACCTCTATCCTCTGCTGAAAATTAGACTCAAAACCTGTGAGACTCATTCAATTCTTGCTTTATTAGAAAACAAGTGCAGTCCATAGGATTTTTAAAAAAAGATGAATAAAATGGGCAATTCGCTATCAGCCATTTGTACCAGAACAAGTTTCTGCCTCATTTTGATAGTTATGAAAAATGTTGAAAAAGTTGGGCACTCATTCATGATCTACTAAGAAATATTTCTTTGCTTGCCTTTTTTCAGCTTTGAAATAGCAGGAGATATTTTGCTATGTTCTCTTGTAATTTCTGCTAGTTTGATTTATCAGAAATTTCCTTGTGATATTAGGATGATATGACCTATATAAACTTTTATAGAAACTTAATATCCTAAGTAGGAGGGATTTATTTTCCTCAAAAATAAATAAATAAAAAAATAAAGATAACTAATTTAAAATAAAATAGGATTTCTTTTTAAAAACACAGAAACATAAATACAGATTACTATAATTCTAAAAAAAACTTTGGCCTTTCTCACTAAGTTTTCACTGTGTTGTATAAGTGCTATCAAATGCAGAGTCTGCCTTGCTTCTGTATATTAATCCTCATTCAACTATGTTGCCTTCAGAAGCAGTATTGTGCAGGTAAAAAGCTATTTGTGACTGTTTTGCACAGTTTAACTTTATAAAGCTAATTGTTATTTATGCACAAGACAATCAAATGTAAATCTACATACATGTAGATGGAATTGATGTAAATTATTGAGCACAATTGAAAATATTAATTTTGCAACTGAAATTATGAAAGTGAGAAATAAGATCATACTATGGATTGATAAGACAACTTTTAATTCTTTAAACTATTCTTTTCTTATGTCAATTATTTTAGAATTCCATAAAATGACATTTTGTTTCTTTTCATTTTATTAAGATAGATGCTGCTGAGCTTTGGATTAGCTTTGTTATGGTTTGGATTTCTTCAGACTAAGTTTGGAAGTACACAGATTTATTAGAAAGGCTAAGATTTTGGGATTAAAATTTAAATGTTTTGTTTGTTTTGTTCTGTTTTTTTCCCCTTTCAAACAGTGTTAAATATATGCTAGATGAGTAATATTTTTTCAGTCTAAAAACTATATTAAATATGTGATCATAAATGTTTTAAACTACCTGAAGAGAAATTTGTATATTTGGGAAAAATATAATTTTACATAGCTTTTGTATGCAGATATTAATATGCAATTATGACTATAGTGAGCATAGATTATTATGTAAGCTTGAATTCTAAAAAGAAACATCTTACAATTTATATGTGTTGGTGTCTCTTATTTCTTGTCATTGAATTTCTTTTCTTTTTAATATTAGATCAATGCTTAGAAATATATCCCCCTTTAAGATAGGATTGCAAATTTCCCTTTTCTTTAGGAGTACAATACACTTAAAGTTTATATTTGATGCCATCTAAGAATCATCCAGATTGTGCAGCCCAGACCTGATAGTCTTATTTCCAATAGTGCCCTATATATTTTATTTCCCAAAATAAAGTCATATGGAAAACGAAATGCAACGTATAATATAGAAACCTTGAGCTCATTCAGGTTCATTGCTATAGTATTAGGACATGTTTTAGAGTTGAACTTATTCTCTTACTAAGTATAGAGACTTAGAAAAAAATTAGTAATCTACATTGTAATGAGACCAAAAGTCTCATAAACAAAAGCCGTTAAAGCTGTCCAAATAAGATGTTCTAAATAATTATTACTCCCCAAAATTGAACAGGCTGAAATTATTTAAAATTAATGCCACAACATACGCCTCTATTGATAAAATGGAACAGTCCCAAATATTTTCACTCCTAGTGGTTGAGAATATTTCTGAGATAATATCAATTCAATTATTGTTATGAGTCATCTTCCTGGAACATGACCAAATGGCAAGGTATTGTCTAAAGAAAAATCTTCATCAGGATCCAGTCCAAGCTGGCAATAATCAAAAAGGAGACTGCTTTAGAAAAAACGTTGCAGTTTGTTGACAAGGAGAGCCAGACAGAAAGATGGCTCTGGAAAAACTGACCCATGTAGCAGAGTATGGTGGGTTTTTATACCTTCTGGGGCTCTTGAGATTGTTTTCTGTTCCTGTTTGAGGCTTTGTATTTCCTGTGTCATGTACTTTGACCTGAGTCTGAGTGTGCCCTTTTGGTATTGGTGGGTTAATCCTATTATGTCTCCTGTCCTTAGAATTTGGGTGGGGGTATATAGATTTTAGGAGTCTTTGTCTTCCTAATAGTTTAGGCTCCAACCTTCCTGAATGGATTATTACATCTGCATTTCTAAAAGCTGGCCTCTGTATAGTTTCTGCTTGGGGGAAAGAGGCTGGGGCTGGTTTCTGTCTTTTTTAAGATTTTCATTATTCCTTTAGGGAAATATATTCTGCCTTTTTAATATTCCCCAAAATATTTCTTTCTCTGGATTCTTTCCATAATAATACCCTCTTTGTGCCATAAGAGTGTGAGTGACATACTTTTACTGGCACAAGATTAAAAATTGATCTGGTCAGAGAGATTTGATGGGCACTTCTATGGGGCTCTAGGATGTGGGAAAACAAGCTTTTAAACTGTTAATGCAAAAAAAAGTGGGGGAAGACACTAAGAGAAGCAGCAGAAAAAGATCCCTGCAGTGGCTCCCAAAAGGGGAGCTTCCAAGCCATAAAGGTCTAAAAGTTTTGGCAAAAGTTCTGTTAGATGGAAAAAAAAATTATAGTGTCCAATATTCTGTGCCAATTCTTTTCAGATGTTGGATGTCACTTTGAGCTTCCAGACAGGTTTTTTTGAAGCACATGCCTCCCAAAATTCTTCACAGCCATGTTTTTCCTCAAGTACATAACCACTGGCTGCCCATTTTTCAAGGGTTGCTTCCTGCCTTAGTTTTAGTTCAGTGCATCCAAGTTTGTGATGTCCAATTAAAGTTAAGCCAGTGTGCAAGCCAGACTATTAATTTTCTTAAATTGCACACAGTGAGCCCTAGGATTCCCACTCTGAGTCCACCAGTGCAACATATTCTGGGCTTGGTTTTGGAGATCTCTTTTCTTCTCCTTCCTCAGTGAGAGCATATGAATTGCAAATCGCCTGAAGGGACCTGATTCCCTCCCCCTTGGAATTTGCAGGAAGTTGTGCATGTAAAGCTTTAATGCCACAGATAATCAGGCTGGAGCTTTACTGAAGGTAGGTGATGGGAATAGACTCAATGTGATTCTGAATTGTGTGAATGTAGCTACTTCTACAAAACATGTAATACAAACATCCTTGACAGATTTTCCCTCCCACCAGACAGAAGTCCAAGGTGTTCAGTACTTGTTATGCCAACCATTCCCAAATGCCATCCCTCCATGAATCCATTCAACTGCTTAATTACAATATAAATGTGACAAGAAAGAAAACTTTATGATAAGTTTCTACCTTCCCCCCCATAGGCTTTCCCTGTTAGCTTCTGAAGGTTAACATGGGGGCCAATGGCTCCAGGCCTCCTTCCTTCCTCTGCAGCTTTCACAGGCATCCTGGTGAGGGTAGGACTTGGGAAAATCTGTTCCACTCTGGTGGCATAGTGGCTTTCTAGGGTGACTGGATCAAAACCCATTTCCTGATTCAAATGAATGGAGGCAGATCTGGGTCAATGTGCTCTGCTTCCAAAGGTTGTGGGGTTCATCTCTGCAGGGCTGAAAGACATGAGAACAGGATCCCCTCCCCCCTTTCTGGGTGGACTCTTCCAGGAGAGGCTTTGCTGATCAGACAAAGACATGGAGAACAGAAGATAAGAAATGGAGAAGTAGATAGGGGAGGGTAGCTTGCAGTCAGAGTTTGAAAAGACATTACTGCAGTTATTAAAGAAACAGATAAGCAGACAAAATGGGGACACCACAGATGAGGACAAAAGAGAGTTTGGATTCTGGTAAGAACAAAAAAAATGAAAAGTCACTTCTGAAACTGAACATTTGCAACATGTTAAAGAGGACTTAAGGACTTGCAACATGAAAATGCTGGGCAGCTTGGGAATGCTGAAAACTCCAAATAATTTTAAAAGCTTAATATTTTAAGGTGTGCAATTTGCTAGGGACAGGATAGTCTACCTTTTACATCTGATTTCAAAATATTTAAACATCATGACAGCATTTTGGCCAGCAGTGTCAATAAACAATTTAGATAAAAATACCACATTAGAGATTGAAAATAAATGCTTATGTGTTCCAGGATTAATTCCATAATAATTTCACTGATTAGTGATAGGATAAGAAAAGTAATTTAAGATTATTTCCACACACAAGCAAACTTGAGCTCATGAGGCTCTTGTAGATAACACACTTCATTTTTCAGGAAAATGATAAAACCCATTTACAACACATGCAGAAAAGGGAGAACGAAACTTTTCCTGTAGTTGAACTTAAAACATTCCCTCCTGACAACTTTGGGCTGTTCTTACAAGTACAGAGAGAGAAAGGGAAAAGGGGGGGAATTTTTTTTTTCTTCACCCTGTTTGCTGGCCAGACAAACTGAATGAGAGTATTTTCCTTTTGGTAGCTTATTTTAAGCAGAATTTCTAGCAGAATTTTAGAATTCTTTTCTCTTTGGATTAGAGACAACAGTTACATTTACCTCAGACACAAAGACTTTGACACACATGCATACACAAAGACAAGGGAAAGAGAATAAAAAAGGAAAACAACTCTTAGTTTTACACATCCTGATCATTCCCACCATAAATCTTAGTTAACTCAAATTAGGGAAGGCACAAATCTTAAACATAAAACGTGTTTGCATAGAAATAGAGAGAATCACTATTCCTATATTTTATTTTCCTTTTTCTTTTAAGTACCTTTATTTAGCCAAATTAGTTTCCCAGCAAAGCCCTGAGCAAAGCCTATTCTTCATAATTTTCTCTTCATCATTTTTTTTTCACCTCTTGTCCCACGCCACAAGCAACTCTCCTAGGGTGCTCCTGTCACAACCCACAAGCTACAGCTTCCCATGTTCCTCTTCCAATGTGGGGTTTAATTAGCCAGGTCTCCCTTTGTGGCCAAACTCTGCTACTCCACCTGTCAGTTTTCAGACAAAACTGGGAGAACTCTGGTTCCCTCACAGAGTACGGGCACCTCCTAACCAAGAAACACACCGCCTGTCACTTTGCTGACACTGAATTGGTAGTATTACATGAGGATGATTTTAATGTATTAGGTGAAAACGATGAAATCTTTTATACTTGTATCAATAGTAATTCCTGTTTACCCTTTGGATTGATTTATTTTCAACACATCATTCAAAAAGTAAATTTAGCATGGGTTTGTCACCTGATCCAAATGCTTTACTGCAGGATTTTGTGCAACATTTGAATACGGCAGCATAGAGATAATAATGATCTGGGTTCTTCTATCTACAACTATTATCATTAGTGATCTGAGCCTGGTTGGCTAGTATGTTAGAACAGGGCTTTTCAACCAGTGATACGGGTACCACCTGTGGTACATTGGCACCTGGTAGGTGGCATGCGACCATCCTAGAAAAGTAGTAGCGGGGAAGGGGAATGAGCTGAACTGGTGGCAGCACGGCACAAGCCTGAGCGAGAGATTCCTGGAGCTGCAGGGCTGTCAGGACTCAGCAGAAGCGCCAGGATCACTGCTTCTTCAGGGCTGTCAGGGCTTAGTGGAAGTGCCAGGATCAGTGCCAGGCTCCAGCTGGAGCTCGGTGCTGATCCTGGCACTTCTGAGCCCTGAAGAAGCACCAATCAGCTGGAAAGCAGCACTGATCCTGGCACTTCTGCTGAACCCAGAAGAAGCGCCGATCAGCTGGAATGTTGCAGCATCTCCAGGGTCTTGTGATTTACATTCAGATGCTTGGCAACTGATTCATATTTATGATGGTCACAGTGTCCCAGGGTCATGTGAAGTGATCAAAACCTGCCGCAATCACCCAGCAGACGGGGGGGGGGAATAAAAACCAAACACCCCACACCCCACCCCCGCTGCCAATTCTTAACATAAATGCTCACAACAATAAAAACCTTGGATAGGAGGAAGAGTGGGCAGGCAGGTATCTTGTTCAGCTGTGGCTTGGGGGCCACTTTTTTCAGTGCCATTGTAACTTTGAACAGTCACTAAGCAAACTGTTGTAAGTCGAGGACTATCTATACTTTATCACTTTTTTCCTTTTTTTTTTTTTTTTGGTCATCAGGTTTTTGACAACTTGCTAGGTGACTGGTGGTACTCGGATATTGCCATATCCTAAAAGTGGTACAATGGGTGAAAAGGTTGAAAAGCCCTGTG